CCCATTATAGTCCATTTTAAGTAAAATGTAGTCCCTGGGGGGGGGGGGGCGCCTACTACTACTACTACTACTACTACGACTACTACTACGACTACTACGACTACAACTGCTGCTGCTACTACTACTACTACTACTACTACTACTACTACTTTTCTAGAGCCACAGAACAGGTTTGAGGTGTAAGTTTAAGTTCTAGAACATAAAATGCAGTTGGCCCCATATTTTTTAGGATTTGGTGATAATTTTCTTTAAATCTAGGTGGTTAAAGGCCAACAGGTGCCTCTGCCTTAACAATAGTCTTTGAACCACATTTTTGGCCCCGAGAGTTGTTTTTTTTAAATCTAGAGCGCGGATTACGGCCTCGATTTAGAGATTCCGCGTGGTGTGCGCTCGGCAGCGGTGCTTGACATGCAGGGGTGTGCCATTCTGGCATTAGATTTTGAGCAGATTTTCAAAGATGATGAGGTAATGAGATCCCAAACCCTAGCCCCCAAAGCACACACCTTCCCCTTGAAAGGCCCAAATAGTTCTCGGAGCCTTAGGGCAAACCGTAAATTTCTTGGATGGAGGCTATATGTAGGGCTGACACGTGAGGAAGTCAGGATGAGCTGCAGTCTCGTCTTTGCAGCCGTCCGCTATGGGGGATCCTTAGAATCTTGCTAAAATCCTGCATACTCCATAATCCTTTTATTTTGGGAAGAAGGGTGTTGCAGCGCTAAGGCCATGCAGGATTTCTAGTATCAGCCCGTACAATGAGGAGACCAGGACGTGTGCTTTGAGGGTAGGCTTGGAAACCGTCTTGGTGCTGACGTTGTATGATCCCTAACCATGAATTCTGCATTGGTATGCTGCACCTTCGAAAGTTTCGTCCGAAGCCCAAGAAAGTCCAAGACCATCCAAAATTAAGTTTCAAGGCCTTAGACCCTAACACGTTAATCTTAAAGCATAGAGTCAAGTTCGGGAGTGGACCTTGGCTGCACTGTGCCATGCGCGTGCTGAAGGCCGCAAAGGGCCAAAAGCCATGAAACCCCGACAGTGTTTCTATGAAAATCGTAGTCGTAGTCGTGCGACAATTGCTGCTGCCATTCCTCCTGCTGCACCGTTGCCGCCCCCACCGCCCGCTGCGGCCGCCCCCACCGCCCGCTGCGGCCGCCGCAGCCGCCGCTGCTGCTGCTGTTGTTGCTGCACTTGAAAATGCCGGCGCCAATTTCAAATGTTACATGCAGATGTGGCACCTTTGAGGTTTTTTTTCTTATAATCAACTGAATCAACAAAGGTATCACAACTGGCCTACCTTAATGCAAAAACCCAAACAATGGATCCTTGTTCCGCTTTCTGTCATTACCTATTGCCTGTGAGTTGCTGAGGGCGGGCAGACTCGCTACTGGATGATTTTTAGAAAGCTTTTCTCCCTGGTGCTTAGTATGGAAGGAAATGGATTATGGGGGGTTATCATAGGTACTAAAGGGATCCATTCCTTCATACCCTACTAATTCTTTGATTTCTGATACGAGGCTCTGAAACCTGAGGTAGCGCCTCAGGATTGGGGGCCCATTGGCCCCTTGTACACTTCTCAATAGTAAGATCTACATCATAGCAATAGAAAATGCCAAGTTGCACCCACCTCCTACAATCAGTATGGTGTCATCCAGGATAGATGAACACTATCGCGTGCTGTTTGCCACAGTGCCGGATTCCATCTTCACATCCTTCCGGTGCTACACGGGTGAGTGCACCGCAGGGGGAGGAGAGCGGCGGGGATGTGCAGTGACACCATTCCAGAGGGTCTGAGAAGGTCTTAGAGTGTCACATCCGGTGAGAGCAGAGTAGGGCCCAACCGTAAGTTTTGGCCCTAAACCCTGAACCTATCGGGTGATGTGTAAGGATAGGGTATTGCTCCGAAGTGGTTTCATTGACTGTTACGTTTCTATGCTGCAAGGACAACCGCTTGCTCCAATCCTTGCGAGTCGATTCGGCTTTTTGTTCACAGCCAGCTATATTGCCACCGGCCGTACTTTGGACAACGTTTTGGTCTTCCTTGTACCGTAGAGGACCCAGTCAGGAGATTGTGTTAGGGTTTGGAACTCCCAAGCTCTAAACCCTAAATCCTTCATGGAACCTGACGTCTTGACTAGCCTTAAAACACAGCCCAGGCGAGCTATATGCTTATCACTATGGGTGCCTTGGCGGCACAGAAGACCATCAAGAGGCAGCATGCACCTATGAAGCTTGTTTCTTCGAGTTCTATGGTTCTGTGGGAAAAAAATACTACTCTAATGGGATCCCTCTGTTTTGAGAAGCCCCTATAAACCCAAGAAACCCCCTAAACCCTAAACGGGCAAACC